TATAATATCGAATAGTGCATTAATGATTAATTTCTCCCGAATGCCAACATAAAAGTCAACTTACGGTCAACTACATCGACTAGGGTCAAATTTAGTCAACTATGCTTAAGAACGCTCCTCACATCAATTAAAATTATAGGAATCGTCAGTTCCAACATAAGGCGTCTCATCTAGCTATAGATCATAAAACAACATTATAAATGTGATTATTAAGTTATCTTCATTATGATAAAATCACTTTTTATTATTAATTTATTTTTGTTAATGTAAGAACCATATGAACACACACACACACACACACACACACACATATATATATATATATATATATATGAACCATTGTGTCAAATACAAACAAAAATTGACATATATATGAACTTGGACTGTATAGCATTTATGAACACAATATGTATATAATAAGAATAGTTGCTACACAAAAGTAAATAAAAAAACAGATATGAACACAATATGAACAGTTTGTGAACAATAGTTCATTCATTATGAACACATTCAGGAGCAAGCCAATGTTGAGATATGCAGCTAGTGTACATATGAACACAATATGAACAGTTTGTGAACAATAGTTCATTCATTATGAACACATTCAGGAGCAAGCCAATGTTGAGATATGCAACTAGTGTACATATGAACACAATATGAATAGTTTGTGAACAATAGTTTCTTCATTATGAACACATTCAGGAGCAAACCAATRTTGAGWTATGCAGCTAGTGTACATATGAACACAATATGAACATTTGTGAACAATTCTTTAACAATTACATATGAATTCGAATTTCGATTGTAGTTATAGACGATTTTAACCTTTTCATTCTCATTGTTGTCGATCTGTTTCCCAATAGGTTTATCCACATTACTCAGACGATTTCGAAATCTTTACAATGGGAAATTCTTTAACAATTACAAAATCAATATCATTATGGATAGAATAAATCGAAATTACAAAACATGAACACGTATAAAAAATATCAAAATTACATAATCAGCAATTATTGAGATTTTTAGATTTGTAACTCCCAATTAATGATTTAAGAGTTACATAAATGACAAATTACTTAATTACCCTTGTCATTAATATACGAGTTATATGTGAACCTAAAGAAAAGATAGAATATGATTGGTTGAACTTGATTAACAAAGTTAACACAAAAATCTTGGTTATTATTTGAACCAAACACACACTCTCTCTATATATATATATATATATATATATATATATATATATATTTATATATAATATTTTCTTCATTTTCTAATTGAAAATTAAAGAAATACGAAAAAGACAAAAACACCCCCCAAGTTACGGATCTATTTAACATAAGTTAGTGTGAGGGACCAAAAATGAAACAAGATATATAGCACCCACATGGACCAAAACTATAATTACTTTTAAAGAGGAACCATGATTGTTAGTAGGTGGCAAATACAAAGACCGAAAGTGTAATTTACTCAAAAGATGGATGAGAGTTGAGTTGCTCTGGTTTGGTAGTTATATATAATACTTTTGATCAGCAGAGTTTTAAAATTAGAAAATGAACATTATTTTAATTATCTCTGTCACTAACGGTCGTTTGTTGGACATACAAATAAACCTTTTTTCTAAGTTAAACTTCCATTCAAGCAACTCGGTTTTATAACTTTAATGTTTTTGTTTCTCACTTGATACTTTACAAACTCCATATACTCCATAGCGTTATTAAATGACAACAAAATATCCAATTTAACCACAAAGGTGATGCGTAATTGATTTGAGCTTAACTTCAAAGGTCAAAGGTACCTGGAGGTCTCAGATTCAAATCCAAAAAGGAATAAAAATCCCCGTCACGGAGGTTCAAATGTTGTAACTCCGGGCTATCTGCAAAGCAGGTAGTTGCCCTGAGATTAGTCAGCTCGCATAACTGGTTAAATATCCAAATTAATAAAAAAAATATCCAATTTAAAACTTAATAAATAAGAACTCTAGATTTTTCCATCAAAATTTCTAGATATTTTCTCTATCTTGGGCTTCGCCTTTGACTTGCAGCTCTAATGTTGGAGATAAAACAAGTTTATTATCCAACACCGTACATTCTACTACAAAACATTATGCTTCATCATTTCTTATCAATCACAATTTCTAGTTACTTAATCTCAAGGTTTTCTATGACATGAAAACAAGTAAAACTGAATAAAGTCCCTTAAGGTCTCGTAAAATCGAATAAAGCCTAGTAAAACTGAATCGACGAGTATATATACATCGATCCAATCGTGGTTACTAACCACCACACATCTATACACATCGTGTATTCATATGTATATAACACGGACTGACGAGTATATATACCTATAACAATTACAACATCGTGTAAACATATATATATATATATATATATATACACATGTGTACATATACTACAAATCGCGGTTAGCATCCACACTAAATATATATACAAACAACACATATACATGTATACATACAACAATAACACATAATAATATCTACATATAACACATAAAAATCAAGAAAATCAAGAAAATAGGAAAATCCCTCACTGATCCCTCGCTGATCAGCGAGGGATCAGCGAGGGAATTGTCAAAAATTAATTTCCCTCGYTGATCCCTCGCAGATCAGCGAGGGATCAGCGAGAGAATTGTCCTATTTTCATGATTTTTATGTGTTACATGTACACATTTTTATATTTAGGTAGTGTATGTATACATGTGCATGTGTTATAAGTATATATGTCCGTCAGCCCGTGTTATATACATATGTTTACACGACGTTGTATGTGTTATATGTATATATACCCGTCGGTTAATGCTATATACATATATATACACAATGTGTACTGGTTGGTAACCACGATTGGATCGATGTATATATGTTTAAAAATATGTGTATATGTGAATGTATAGATAGTGGGGGTGTGTGTGTGTGTGTTATATGCGGATTTATTCGGCTTTATTGTGTCTTACCCATTTAACTGGGTTTTATTCGGTTTTTTTGGGCCTTAATCCATTTACCGGGTTATTTTGAGTTTATCGGACCTTAATGAACTTTATTCAGTTTTATTTGACTTTATTCGGTTTTCTTGATTTTCATGTGTTATATGTACACATTTATATATTTAGGTATTCATATATTCATTCTCGGTATTATTGGGCCTTAACCCATTTAACTGGGCCTTAATCCATTTACCGGGCTATTTTGAGTATATCGGGCCTTAATGAACTTTATTTGGTTTAATGGGCCCCAATGGGCTTTATTCGGTTTAATGGGCCTTAATGGGCTTTATTCGGTTTTATTAATTAATTTTTGTAATATTCTTAAAAATAATAAATAATTG